TCACAAGAGAAATGGCCTTCTGCTTTTCCTGTAGGACAGGTCAAAGAGCTGGTAATGATCAAGTTGCTTGATTCTGGCAGTTAATGGGGGACTCAGTGATTTGTTGTGCTCACACAGTGATCTATGTATTGTATGTTTGTGAGTTGCTACTTTTCTAAATAAGGCAATCAGGGTGGTCCTGAGGAATAAAAAGTTTGCCTTTCTCCCTTGATAACATTCTCAGCCTATGAAAGATGAACAGATGGCATATAAAAGAAGGCTACGAATAGAGGATAATGTTTGTAACTCGGGTTAAAATGAGGAATCCTTGGTGTTCGCTGGGCTTCGCTGTTGTCTTGCAGATATTTCATTATCCAAACTAGGTAACACTGATATTATTTGCATAATTATTTATTTAAAAGAGTGATATTCAAAATAATAAACAATTGGCAAAGAAATTTAGAAATATTTTAAAATATGTGTTGTGTTATTCAAAGGACATAGCCCATAAGATGATCAAGGGCAATAAATGGTCTCAAAAACAGGAGAATTTTAACTTGCCTGAAGTATCATCCAGAGCAAAATTTAGATATAAGCTAAACAAATACTGTATAATTTAGGGCCTCACAGAAGGAAAGGGCACTTCAAACTTAAAATGGGTTTTGAGTTACAGTTTTATTGTAATTTCTTATATGAATTAGATTGCCATCAATTAAAACCCTCCTATATGGCTCACATTAAGATATGCTTTATTTTGCCTGTCTTCACACCCTCTGTTCAGAGCAGGCCCTTTCTCACCCCATCATAGGATTGTCAGGCATTTTGGTGGCATTCTTCTCCAATTCAGTGGTTACACTGTCTTCTCTGTTAGCATTTATCAATTAGAGCCTCTCTATATCTAAATCTAGCCCTTCTGCCAGCAAGGAAGTGCTAAATTGTCAAATTGACCAGCAAATATTTTATAATTAGACTCCATAATGCACTTCAGAACTATTTATAAACTGTAAATGGTCAGGAGGCATGACTATGACGAAGCAAAGATGTCATTATTCTACATTACTGTTACATATTCTACATTACTGTTGTTAAAAATAAAAACCGCTACTTTGAACTGGATGTAGAAATCAAAACAAGGAACTAAATTTTTAAGTATTATTTTGTTGAATCAAGCCAAAATCTATTTAGAATGGTATCCTGTCTCTAAAAGAAAACCTGGCTTGAATAATAATAATTTACTAAGCTTGTATGCCATCTGACTCTCAGCAGCAATGGGTGGCTTACAACATCACTCCATTTGGTCATCAAAGATATAGGGATTATCAATCTGATAGGAAATACGGTGTGTATGTGCACACGTAGATACGTACATGCATACATTCATGCATATTTTCTAAGAGGGCCAATTTTAGAATTCTAGAATCTTCGGCAGTTATTCAAGACAACAATCAAAGCTTATCTACAGTATGTCTGTCGCAATACAGGATTGGTATGAATTTACCCAAGTAGACAAATAATATGAATAAGAAGCTGAGTCAAAGAAGATATAAGAGGAAGGAAAGGTTTCTTCAGAAAAGAGAAACACTACATACTCACGAGACTATAAAAAGAAACATGCACTTGGGCAAAATGTGGTAAATGCAAAGCAGATTATAAAAAATACAGACATGAATCTGAAAAACATCAAACAATTAAAACCATTTTAAAAAGTTATGTACAGCAAAAACAGCAAAACAAGAAATAGCAAGGAAGCCAATGAATTGGACTGCTTAAAATATTAAAATGTGTCCCCCAACCCAGTATTTCATGTGTTTGTTTTCATGCTCACTTATGTTTACTAGATATGCTTTTCTATTATGTGGTTTATGAAATTTGATGTAGACCAGCCTGAGTTGTGCTGAGTGGACAGTTTTATAAATTGATTAAATAAATACAATCTTTAAAGTCATTTCCCACCAATGTGCACATTCATAACTATAAAAGCTTAACTGTGAAACTGATTATGGTCTGGTCAGCTTCAGGCAGTTCAAGGAAGGTTCATATCATGGCAGTTCAAGGAGAATTCGGGTCATGGCAATTTGTTAACTTGTGATTAGTACTTTTTAGAGATGCTTCCCGCTGCTGAGAATAGTAGCTCAGAAAGGATACCTTATTTATGCAAAAGTCTCCACTCTGAAAGGGAACAAAAAGGGGGAAGAAATGAGTCCGACACGGGACACTGTATGAGATGACAGCAACCAGCAATCTGCACAGCCTCTCTATCAGTTAGATACTTGTACAGCAATCATTTCATTTAACAATTGTCATGAGAGTGGCAAAATCCAAGTTTGTGACAATTAGCAACTGCATACTGGAACAAAAATATGCAGTGACTGATGTATTGCATTTTATCTGGATAGCGCAGTCATGCTTGTTATGTTAGGTCACAATTACAAGTTCAACAGTGCAATATTTGATTTAGTGTGAACTATAAATTAATACCAGGCCATATTTAATGCAAGCCAAAATTCAGTTAATACAAGGTTGTGTGCAACTAAGGCTAGCACAAGTGCAGCCTTTTCCACTGGCGTGCAAATTCATAGAGGGGAAGAAGAGTATCTCGAAATTCCAATTACTGATGTGGATCAACAGGAGGAAAGTTATCACACTGATACCCCACTTATTTTAAAAGCGACCTCTGGTTAGCGGACTCGATGTACTTTTCTTTCTCTTGAAACGGACTTATTCTAGCAACGTCTGGTGAAAAGGAAAAGCGTCATGCTACAATTTCTGATGAAAGGGATATGAAAGGGATCCTCAGCCCGCCTGAACACCCTGGACGACAGCTTAGAGGACAGGCCCCCGGGGAATGCACGCACTCCTCCTCCCTGCCCTCCTTCACCAATTCCCTCGCAAGGAACGGTGGTGAGTAGGCCCCTTTGGGTTATCTACAAAGCTTGGCTAGCCACGAACTGGCAGACCTATTGAAAATTCAGGTCACGAATACGATCAAGTATTTGGGGATATACTTGACAGCAAGATGCAGTACACTAAAAGAGAATAATTATGTCAAACTTAAACAGCAGATAGCGCTAGATTTGGCGAAATGGGAAAATTTACAACTGTCATTAATAGGGAGAATATCAACAATCAAGATGAATATATTACCCAGAATTTTATATTTGTTTCAAACAATTCCAATTAGGCTTGGAAAAGATTATTTTGAAGATTTAAATAAAATTGTGTTGAAATATATATGGCAAGGTAAGAAAGCGAGAATAAAGTTAAAACTTTTGCAAGATGCTAGAATAAGAGGAGGATTTAGTTTGCCTAATTGGGAGTTGTATTACCAAGCTACAAACTTGATGTGGGTTAAGGAATGGATAACATTAAGAAATACTAGATTGTTGACATTAGAAGGACATGATCTGTTGTTGGGGTGGCATGCTTTTTTATGGTATAAAAGAACTAAAACACAGGGGTACTTTAGATGACATTATATACGGGAGTCTCTGTGGTTAAACTGGGAGAAGATTAAAAGACAATATTATTTGAAAATTCCAGTCTGGCTATCGACTATTGAAACATTTTCTTATCCTATAATATACAAAAAGGAACAAACAGTTAGATATGGTGAAATATTGAATGAAAATCTATACAAAAACTAGAGGAACAAGGTATAAAGATGAATTGGTTTTCATATGCGCAAATACATTCAAGGTATGATAAAGATTCTAAAACAGAAGGTTTCTATGATAAACTGACTGATTTAGATAAGATTTTGACAGGTACTGATGAAAAGATGATTTAAAAATTATATGGATATTTATTAGAAATTAAACTAGAAGAAGAACAAGTTAAAGAAACTATGATTGCTTGGGGGAAGAATTTTGGATATGGGATTGATCTAGAGAAATGGCAAAAATTGTGGTCTCAAAATTATAAAATGACAATGTCAACAGCATATAAAGAAAATTTGTATAAGATGTTTTACAGGTGGCATTTTCCCCAACAAGAATAGCAAGAATGTTCAAGAATAAATCCGAAAAATGTTGGAAATGTCATCAGACACCTGGCTCATATTACCATATGTGGTGGACTTGTGCGGATGCTAAAAAATACTGGACTAAAATCCACATGTGGTTGGAAAAAATGACAAAAAAGCATATAGATTTGAAACCAGAGATATTTTTATTGGGAATTTTACCTGAAATATATAGTAAAGACTTGAAATACCTGATTGTAAATGTATTAACAGCGGCTAGGATTGTATTTGCTAAAAACTGGAAAAATGAGAAAACACCATCACAGGAGGAAATCATTAATATTGGAATGTGCTGAAATGAGCAGATTGACATTTGAAATTACAGAACAGGATGATAAACAATTTTATAAAGTTTGGGATCTATTCTATCAATGGTTAGACAATAAAATATAGTAACAAAATATGTAGACTTTTAGAAAATATTAAATATATAAAGATGTATTCTTTCTTTATTATATCTACAAAATGATTTTAGGATAGATTTGGGATGATAATATGAATTGTCACAAAACAAATTAAGTAAAATATGATTATTTCTTAAAGCATGAAAGAATAAAAGTATAGTCAAATGATTGATTAATAATGATACTAATGTATTTAATATTGGATTGAAAATACGAGAGATCATATACAATGTAATTGTAATTGAAGAATACGAAATGGAAGCACAAAACAATTTGTAAACCAACCGGCACACTGTATGTACTTATATGGAAGATGGCCTGATGTTTTTATGTTTTGTTTGTTTTTGTTTGTTTTAAAAACCAATAAAAATTAAAAAAAAACAACCGCTTGGCTAGCCTTTGTGTGGAAACTCTGGATTAGCACGTCGAGTAAGGCCAAACAGTTCCGGGCCCGGTTGCAAAGAGCAAGACAAAAAAAAAAAAAGGACGTCAGGACCGAGGCCCCAGTGCTGCAGCTCCACGCCCACCCAGGACCGAAAGAGGCTCAGCCCTTTTGAACTCCCTGCCCGCCGTTGAAGTCATTGGTTGCAAGAACGCCTCTTCTCCGCCCCTGCTGTTGCTCGCTGCGGGTTGGGCGCTGCCTTAATATAGTAGTCCGCTCAGTTCGCTGGAAAAAGAAAAAGAAGAAGAAGAAGAAGAAGAAGAAAGGGGGTCGGATGGGGCCTCGGTCACCTCAGTTAATGTCTTCAAGCTGGTTTAAGAAGTGTTTCCTGAACGGCGAGACGAAGCGCGGAAAAGGCGCTGCTCATCAGCAGCAGCAACAACCAGCAGAGGAGGGAGGCTCGCAGCAGCCGAAGCCACCGCCAGCTCCTTTGCAATACAGGCGGCCCAAATTCCTGCGTGGAGCAGTTTGCGCGGAGAAGTTGCCTGGGAAGCGACCCATCTGCTGCCCCTCCCGGGACAGGCCTCTCCAGTGGAACACGGGCTATGCCGAGTGAGTATCCCGGGCACCCTGAGGTAGAAGGCTGCTTGACAGAAACAGTTAAGACGGGGGGACGAGGAGATGCCCCCGTGAGAAGCCTGACTTTTGCTGCCTCAGGGCTTGGTGGCCTCTCTCGGATACTAAGTTTTCTTTGGGAAGGTTGCACACTTGTTTCAAGGACAACTCAATGATGTGTCTGCGGGACAGCTACAATAGCAGTAACGCATCTCCCTTGTTGCTGTTCTGCTGAAAAACAAGCTTATTAAAGTGGTAGGAAGTCCTATAAAATAGTTCAGTTTAATAAGCCTGTTATTACAACGTTCCAGTCTATACCCGTGGTATTTTTAGTAACCTTTTGTACCTTTCAGCAACTGTGTTGAGGATAAGAACAGATAAAAGTAAGACAAGAATAAGACTAGAAGAAACAAATGTTGTCTTTGGGGTATGAACAGAGACATCTATATATGAATAGTGCCAAGTTGGGAAAGGAAAATGTCTCCTTGTTTTTAAGCAATTTTCCTAACCATGAGTCTGGAAAATTACTGAAGTTAGTTTACATTAGGATGGGCTATCAAGCTTTGGTTAACATACACTTTCACCTTACTTTTTCACAACTTTAGAACTTAGACATTATTATGAGGTCACTCATTACCTTGCAATTCTAAAAGATATTAATGTTAAAACTACAGACAGAAAGCTCTATGTTACCTGGGATCATATTAATATCTATTCAGTAACTGCTGTCAAGGAGTATTTGTATTTAGGAGCAATTCAAAAACCAAAACTGCATTGTGATAGCATCTTTTATACAATAATCAGGTAGGTATTGTTTGGGTATTATAAAGTATTTCATGGCAAAACATCATAATAGTTATTGTCAATGGCATTGTGCCATAGTGTCCATACAATATCTGGGGCCTTATGTGCAGAAAACTAGCATAAGGAGAATTTCCAGTTTTATGAGAGTTTTGCAATAACTTTTTATGAAATTAACTCATAACTTCAGTTGTATTTATACTAGTAAAGATTCCTATCATTGCATCTGCCTAAAGAAATGTGTGTTAGGGCTTCCCTAGAACTACATTTGCTTTATTACACAGTTGTCTGTTGTTAAATTAATGGTATTAGCCTAGGTTTGTTATGAGTTCCTTTTCTGCAAGGATATTTTATGAGCACTGGTAGGAAAGACAAGAAACAAAACAGGAGTTTCGATTTCCCCATTTGTATTGTCAATAACTTCATTATTTGCATTTCAAATCTGATTCTTAGACCATAATTTAAACCTCTTTCTGGGGTTTTAGAGGCAGTATCAGAGGTGGTATTCAGCAGGTTCTGACCAATTCTGGAGAACCGATAGCAGAAATTTTTGAGTAGTTTGGAGAACTGGCAAACATAACCTCTGACTGGCCCTGCCCCCATCTGTTTTCTGCCTCCTGAGTCCCAGCTGATGGGCTGGATCTGCTTTTGTGCCCTGCACGGGAGAATGGAGCTGGAAAGCAGGTTAGTGGCGTGGGGAGGGAATAGGATTTTGCAGTAACCTTCCCCTGGCATGCCCACCAAGCCACGCAACACCCACCAAGCCACAGAACCAGTAGTAAAAAAATTTGAATCCCACCACTGGGCAATATTACGTTCAGCTTTGCCTGGTTGTGCCATCTGCTACTTCTTTGAACCAGTATAATCTTAGTATTGCATTGCGGCCTTTAAAATTTCTCAGTGGGATGATTTTAACATATTTGATTCCAGCTAAATTTATATTCTGTTTTTCTGTCCATGCAACACTTACAGCATCATTACAAATATACCCCTATTCTCCATGGAGTTACCCTTGAAAGGTTAGAAATTGTAACTAGCTAATTGCTGCTATTCAATAGTTGGGTGGGAAATCACACTGCTATGTTCATTGCCCGTAAAGCTGCTGGACCCAATATGTAAATTTGCTGCTCACTTAGGATCAGGGACTGAAAATACTACTTTCCCAGGGCAAGAGATGAGGAAGAGTTTTTTTGCTTCAGTTATTGCATCATTGCAGAGGACAACAAACAATTCTTGCAAAGGAATGAGATTTAAAAAGAATCAAGTGGTGAAGAAGTGGATGAGTGCCTTTAGGTTGTTCATGCCTTTAAAATATTAATTGCCAAGTATACTGCAGTAAATTGAACCCTTACCTTGAAAACTACATTTTAAAGGGGAAGAATTTTAAAGGGAACAGATTTTCTCTGCTTCAACAAGCGAGTGACTTTGATCTAAAGTGCAGCAATCCATAGTGAAACAAATATGCTGCACTCCTGTATGATTACATAATTCTTCATTACCTTTTAAAATAAGGTACTCATACAATTATCTTGAATATCTTTAAGCATTATTCAAGCAGGGATTCTGTGGCTTATTGCCACAATGTCATGTCTTTATTGTATTTTATATTTTAATTACTAATCTCAAGGATTCTAGTGAATAGAAAGGTAAAATACAAAAAAACTGCTTGAAGCCATACCTAATAAGCAAGGTAACTATTGGTAAGTATGTTTATAGGACAATGCATCGGTTTAATATGATGATAGAATGAAATATTAGCACGTTTTATATTATTATAAAACCATTCTTATTTCCAGCAGAGGCCATGATATTTTGCAGCTGAAAAAGCTAAACTAGATTTCTGCCTAACTTGGAAAATCTGGCTATTACAAAAGGGGCCCTTTTTCTCTCCTCCTTGGACTGAAATTTTTGCGCTAAAGTCTTAACCTTTCCTTGAGATAGGGACCTTTAGATAAAGCATATTCAGTGAAGTTAGCTAAACATGAAAAACAAGTCCAGAGGATCACATGTTATAACTCATTTCAATGTAAGAAAAATGACATGAACATATATATGTTAGTCAAAAGCCGAATTTTCAGTAAATTGAGTTGAGCCTCATGTGTTGGTAGAAATGGATAAGAATGTTCTTGTTTGGAGAGCTACGTTACCTTGGGTCAAACAGCTACTTGAATATTTCACCCTAATCTTTCCCTCCTGAACTGGATCTGAATATTGGTTGAAGGTTCATTTCTGTTGTCTTCTAGAACATGTGTGAGATGTGTGCAATGTGTAGGAAAAGTCTAAAATCATGAAGGATTGAGGAAGGCTCTCCTACAGCATTCAGAAGCCAAGAGAATGGTCTATAAATGAAGAATATTATTAAGATTCATTGCATAAGGCAGCAAAAGACGATAAACATTTAAGATTCCATCCCTCTAGATGAGTTTGAACTGTAATTCTCAGAAGCCCCATTCAACATGGCCAATGATTGGTTAGAATTTCTATTAAACTTCGTTTCTGTTGATTCTTGTGAGAATGAGAAAACTTGCTGTAGAAGATTGCAGATTCTGGACAAATATATACCTGTATATACAGTATTTTTACAGTAGAAAGGAATATGCATCCAGGTTTCAATTGCTGAAATGACACCTGTTTCAAGGTTGCTGCTTTATTGGCAACTCTACTGTGCTGCGTTGGGTGGGGGGGTGTCATCTAAGTCATGGTTGTCCCAAAGGTGCTTTTTTCCAAAAGGCCACTAGATTTTCTTGATGTTTTCTTTGAAAACGTTTTGCTTTTCATCCAAGAAGCTGAAGAACTGAAGAAGCTTCTTGGATGAAAAGCAAAATGTTTTCAAAGAAAAAACAAACAAGAAAGGCCAGTTGCCTTTGGAAAAAAAAGCACCTTGGGGGTCCCAATATGAGCCTGTAGATTGTTACTGCAGTCAAGTGAAGAGGGAGACCATTTGGCCACAGAGTTACTTAGTTGAACCATATCAAATAGAGCCTAACTAACTAAAACGTTGAAGATAAAATATTCTTACTAAGACAAAGTTGATTCGAGATTCATCTTTGCTGATAACCTTGAAAGAAAGAGACAATATAGTTCCTCTCTGTTTGTGTTTGAAAATCAGTTACCTAATCCATCACATGACTTGGAGAGATTTCTTAAGATTTGTTGTATTGTTCACTTCTGCTTTTATATTTCTTTCCTGCATGACTATCTTCCTCTCTTGCTAGAGTTGCTACTCTTTTATGACCAAAGATTCACATCACCAATTTTGTCATGACATAAACATTGAATCAAAAATATAGCAGATGCCTGTCTTTTGAAATAGAGTACACTATGTGTACATGGTGATTAAGAAGAAAAGAACATTTTGCATGTCAGCTACTTCCTGTGTTCATGAAATTTCAGCAGAGTGAAACTGATTTATAGGAAGTTGGATGGATGTGAGGGCAATTTGGCTGCAACATCTGTCACCCCACTGATTGCCAGGGTTGATTTAGCTGATCTGGTTGACTAGGCAGATGTTCCCTTCCTCCTTCATTGCTCCGTGTGTATCCCTCCTGAAGCTGCATGCTAGGTGGAAGAGACAACCGTCCCAGGTTGGGTATACAATTTGTAGGAGGTTTATGGCTAATTCATATTGGAAAAAAATATCATATGTGAGATCATTTAAAGCAGGGGTGTCAAAGTCACGTCGTCACGTCGTTGTCACATGATATATCAAAACATTCCCCCCCTTTGCTAAACCAGGCGTGGGCGTGGCCAGCCCATAATGCATCCAGCCCATGAATTTGACAGCCCTGGGGACGCAAAGAAAGGTGAGAGCAGCTCATCCCCCAAATAGAATTCACAGATAAATGTAGAGTTCTAAGAAATACAACCAGATTGGGGTAATAGCTAAGCCCCTGGGAGTGCTGGTGCCATTTTAGGTTTTGATTATTCATGAGAAGTCTCCATTACCTTGTTTCGTTGCTACCTTACCTGGTTTCAGAAGTTAAGAAGGATTAAGTCTGTTTAATACTTGGTTGAGAGACTATTCTCAGAAATATGGTATTCTTGCATACAGGCAGAGGCAGACTGTTTCCATGTCATTGATAATATAATTGTTGGTTGTATCCACCTAATCACAAGTTATGAGAGTCTGTAAATTGGACTCAAGTTCATGCCCAGTTGTGGAGATTTAAATGTGCCCTCCCTACTTACCAGATTTGGGGCCTGAAAAATTGTGATTGTATTTCCCTGTTAAGATGAAAGACTGCTTAATGAGTTGGCATTGTCTGAAACTTGATGATGTATTGGTTGAATTGAGGGATTTCTTGCAGAACTAGGATTCACACGTTATTCAACTTCATCAGCTTATTTTATTTTAATCTTATTTTAGCTTGCAAAATCTTGTAACATCAAAGCAGTTAAGCTTACAGCTAGAAAAGCTGTGAGATCAGAAAATTGTTTCATATCCTCTAGACTAGAGATAGAAGCCCTTCAGGCTTTAAACCAGGCAGCTGATTTGCATGAATTAGATTATATTAAGGAAGTGAATGGCTAATTATATAAAGAGGCATAAATTAATGGACCAGAAAAAGACAGATTCCAAAGATAACAAAGTTGATAATCTTTGTGACTTGTCTTATAGTTTCCCACATCTCCTGTTATTTCTTGTTACATACAGTAAATCTAGAACCCATTGCTAGGAGTCTGCCATTGTTGTCCAGTTAAAAACAGATGGCAGATAGGCTAGGGCCTTCTTCAGGTTTTATCTAATGACTCTGCAATTGTTCAAGGATATTTTAGACAGAAATGGACATGCCCAGAAGAGATATGGACCACTGAAGAGAGGATTTTCATACTGTACTTATGGGGCTCAGAGAATCTGATAATGAATAAAGGAAAAAGAAAAATGGAACAAGAATCACCTTTGTTTGAAGCTCAGAAAGATAGTGTGAATATTAAACAGAAATATTCACGACCCCAGTTCCACTAGCTCTTTTTTTAACATTGCAGATCAAGATTTTGTTGCGCTGTGCTCCATATCTATCATTTGAAATACTTATTAGCATCTTTGCCTATAGAAAATCCCTCCACGTTCATTGGACGTGACTTTCAAGTAAATATGTATAGGACTACAGCCAGAGGTGCTATTCAGCAGGTTCTGACCAGTTCTGGAGAACCGGTAGTGGAAATTTTGAGTAATTTGGAGAACCGGCAAATCCCACCTCTGACTGGAAATTTTACAGTATCCTTCCCCTGCCACGCCTACCAAGCCATGCCCACAGAACCAGTAGTAAAAAATAAAATACCACCACTGACTACAGCGTAAAAGATATACTAATGATAGATCAGGTTCTATTCAATTCCTTTACACAAATTAATTGGGCTTATTTTTACCTGACTCTTTTGAACAATCATTATTTGTTTCATCAGAACTGTTAATGCAGAAAAATCAGAATTTAATGAAGACCAAGCAACATGTTGCCAGATTGCTATCAGGAAGAGACAGTTTGAGCATGGCAGAGAGGAGGATCAGCAATGGCTAATTTTGTGTTCTACTGAGGTGAGTTCAGATATCAAAACTAAACATGCTGTTTTCATTAAGATTTTCCAGGAGGAAGGAACTGAATGATAATGTTGCCCATCTGGGTGTGTCTTATTATATTTAAGGTCAGAGAGAAAAGAACCAGATAGAACTGTAATTAGCAGCTGCGATGATCGGTTCCAAGATTTTCTTTAAGAACCTTCCAATATTTATCTTGTGGGACTGGAAAGCCTGTTTTTCACTGCAAGATTTCTTTTCAATGGGCTGTTCATTTCAGCTTGGTAATCGTGGGAAGAAAGAAAATTTCCTTGTTAATATAGACTACATTGTTCTGCAAACAATTAGAGTATTTGTATAGCTGCTTCATACTGGCAATTATGAATGACTTGTTTGGTTCTTAAATGTGTTAGTAAACCATTATGAACACCCTGCGAAAGGCATGAGCTTTGAATTAATAAGGTTTACAGTTTTATAATTAAATAAAAATAAAAATGTCCAGAATAAAATTTGAAGCAGAAGGAAGTTCATACTTTACAAGGTGGGTAGCCAAGGTCCTTATGAAGCAAACCAAGTCCCTGCTTTAGATTCTGTGGCTTCCTCTTGATTATTTTCACAGCTTACAGTAAACAAGAGATTTCCATTCCTCATGGTGTGAATAATGCTTGAAATGCCTAAGAAGCATGTGTGAGCTCTTCCATATGCCTGCAGAAAGAAATAACTACTTTCCTGCTAAGTTGTGATTATCAGCCATTTTATCTTTAATTTTATTCGGGTATTTTGAGAAGATATCTGATTTCTTTTATGATAATTTGGGCATGGGGGGTGGGGCGGATCAGAAGCTGCTTTGTTTTCATAAGTTTGATTTGCCATCTGTAAATTATGCACCATGTATGTAAAGAGTGCTCATGCGAGATGGTTTGTCAGTTGTATGAAGCAGGAGTAGAATGGGCAGGCATGTACCCACTTGATTTGTCATTAAGTTTATTTGCAAGAAGTGAATTGGCATTGGCATTTTAAGCTAAGATAAACAATATATAGGCAGTTCCTAGTCAAATAAAGTTTTTAATAAATTTTAATTACTGTATGAACCTCATTTTTCTGATGCTCCCACTGTTTCTGAGATTAGCAGGCAGGATTGATTAGTATTCTCTTATCCTTTTTCGCTTCTTGTCTTTTCAGTTATAACAACAATACTTTATCCCTTACATTTTCTACCTGATTAATCAAATGCATACGTTTGCACGCACGCACACACACACACACACACACTGCACGCACACACATAACCACATGCTTAAAATGACAGGGTAGTTTACAATTAAAAAGGAAAATAAAAATAAGATATAATGAAATATTAACATAGGATAACATTAACCGTGAAATTTTGTCAAGGCAATTCAATAAACAGATAATTCTATTGAGTGGGATCAAACTCCTGGAGGAAAAGCAAGTCTTTTCAGCTTTACAAAAACCAGGCAGGGTTGGAGCCATCCAGATTTTGAGGAAGTGCTGTTTCATGAGATAGGCACAGCAGCCAAGAAGTCATGTCAACTGAGTTTCATGCAATGATACTGTTTAAGGGATCGGACTTGATGATTACTAATAACTAGCTTGCAGGCATCCATACTTGTCCAGGCCTCTACTCATCTCTTACTATGATGAAGACAAAGCTGAAATATTGTTGACTTGTCAAGACTTTTCATTGAGATTCATGCCCAAGCAGATAATTTAATCTGGGTCTCCCATGTCCACATCAAGCATTCAGTCTCACAAATGTCCTTGCAGTAACATGAAGGCATGTCCCATATGATGATCCTGACAATGGTTTGGTTTTCAGTACCTGACAGGGTATTACTGGGCACTGTTTGATGGCCATGGTGGTTCAGAAGCTTCAATTATGGCCTCCAATTATCTGCACTGTTGCATCAGGCAGAAACTAGAGGATGTGATAGAAGGCATCACTGAAGATAATCCTCCGATGCACCTCAGCGGGCAATGTATTTGCCAGAATGATCCACTGTTTGTAGAAGAAAAGAAAATCCAGCAAGAAAATGTGGTCATTGGAGCTTTGGAGAGTGCCTTCCAGGAATGTGTGAGTGATCCCACTTTCTTTTTTATTATTGTCCCAAGAATTGAATTATGGCGTGCACTGTGGGAAAGGAATAAATCGTGGAATGCAAATGATGTAACGGAAACATATTTGCAACCAACTTTAGGACATAGCTATGAGAGAATGCAGTTTGTACTGTGTTTGTGTCATTGCAATTTGTATTAGTCATATTTTGTGGATGGCTGATGGAGTTAATTTTACTGTTTCCAATTCTGGTAGGAGAGCTGCTAGATCGGGATAAAACAAACTATGTTTCCCTGGTGGCTTGTATTTCAGTTCCCAACCATCAAGTCAGTATGGCCGATGGTAAGGAATTGTGAATACTTTTTGGTTGTTTATCTTTGGCCTACATCTTTTCTGGGTTCTTGTTCTATATTGTGCTATAAATTCGTATATCAATAAGGAATACGTATCATGTGCACAATGATATAATAAACCTTTCTACTTACAGTTTATTTACAATTTAGCATAGTTGAAATATTAACTGGCAATTGTTTTCATCAACCACCAGTGGGGAACAGTGGTGATGAAATTAAGCTTCAGTGCTGGGAAATCTGATATCTGTCTTACATCATTAAATATTGTTTTTACCAACAGGATAAAATGATAGGTCAAGAAATGAAAGCAAGCAACCAATCAGCAGGCTGCACTGCACTGGTTGCTCTTTATCTGCAAGGAAAGCTCTATGTGGCAAATGCAGGTGATAGCAGGTGAGTTCAAAACCCAGAACATAATTTGATTAGATCCAACATGTTCCTTTAATATGGATGACATTTAGCATTTTATTTTAACTAAATAAATTTCTAGTTATTTAAATATCTACATTTTATTAAGCCTAAAATTGAGTATTTTCAAAGAACAACTCCACACATGCAAAGCAAAAGCCATTAAAAGTTACTGTCAGAGGTTTTTTCCTTTTAACAGAATTAGACCATAAGCATGTTTTTAAAAAAAGGATAGATAAAGTAGGTATTTTTTTAAAAACAATGCAGCTTCATATAGCCCTGATTTAGAGTAGGAATGTGGTATGTGGAGTAGACACAATCTTTCAAAACCCTTCCAGAAGGTCTTTTTCCAGGTTGGATGCACAAGAAAGATGGCTTCATTTTAATCCTACCCATGTTGGTTTCCTCCCAAAAATCCCATTCCCAGCTGCTGCTAAGTTGTTGAAAATGAGCGTTTTAATTGTGAGCTACAGAGAAAAGTGCCTTACACCAAAGAAAATAGGCTTAAATTGAAGCAATTGAGCTCTTTGACTAACCAAAAAAGAATCTTCCCTTGGTATGTAATTATTCTTCCAACTTAAATATGAAATGAGAGACAACCATTAAAAATGGCAAAACTCCTCTCTTTGAAAGAAAAAAATGTTGTTTTCCAGGGTACTTCTTGTTCGAAAACGGAGCATCGTTCCTTTGAGTACTGAATTTACCCCTGAGACAGACAGGAAGAGAATCCAGCACCTGGTAAGAGTAATCTTTTTCTATTTTTTTTTTTAAAAGAGCCAAAACATTTTACTTGTGTCTGGTAAGCTCAAGAATGCTTGTTCCTAGAATGGTCCGGAGTAAAGAAATGTTATGATTTTTCTGAACACTGCAGGTTATATCTATTCTGTAATATTTTCAGTATTACACTGAGCTGTGCTTAGTACAGTCTTCCCCAGTTTGATACCTTTCAGACAATTTCAGCTCTCTACATTTTCTGTCATGCTGGCTGCAGATTTCTGGCAATTGCATATAACTAGACAAAGAGTACGTTAGATTGATGTTCTTATCCCTTAGAATAACAAGTTGTTTGCCCAGTGAAGAAATCCAAGCCTTTTATCTTTTTCTATGAGGAAAAGTACGTGTAAAAAAAATCCTCATGGGAAAAAATCGAGTGACTTCCCTAAAATCTGAAAGGGCCAGTTCTTATTTTCAGCTTCTACTTCTTAAGGCTCATTGTATTCTGAGAACAATATTGTTCCCCATTTTCATTCCCCCCCTCCTTAGGCTTTCATCTACCCAAAGCTCCTAGCAGATGAATTCACACGGTTTGAGTTTCCAAGGAGATTGAAAGGAGATGACGTAGGCCAGAAGGTCCTCTATCGAGATTACTCAATGGAAGGCTGGTGAGTTTCTTGAATGGCCTGGTTTTAGGTGTTTTGTATGAGTAATCTTTTAGGTCTTTCTATTTTGGACAAGCAGTCCTTCCTTCCTTTTCTCCTTAGGTTGCTTCTTAACAACCTCCTCTTGGTTATGGTTTGCATCCATTTGTCCTACCTACTTTTGTTCTTTCCTCTCCTCATGTTTATTATCCTTGTTCCAACCACTTAGGCTAAGAGAATCCCAAGTAACATTGCAGTGGCCAGTTTGCCTACAGCCATATTGTTTTCTTTGCATATCAAAAATATTGAAACTAGAATGGATTCTAGTCTACAGAAGGAGGGAATGTTTGTAAAACCTAAAGGGAACTTTTTGTTTTTTCTATACACTGATAATGCAGTGATACCGTGATACCATGCAGTGTTCCAGTGATCTTTAATTGTTACTTTCTTTCCTTAAAAGTGGAAATGAAAATTAGGAGTCCTCTGGGCCAAATTTCTTATATTTAGTGTTAATAATGGTGAAGAATAAATGATGGGGGAGAATGAAATAGGTTTGCTAATAAAAAATAATTTGACATTTGGTGTAGTAGACTTCTATAGAGCGGTTGACTAAAATTGCTTTAGAACTGCTGTTCACATTGCATTTCATACAATGTCTTCATGTATGGTGTTGTTCAGATGTTGACCTCTTCACAAATGGAGTTTCTCAATCATTTAGAGAAAAGAATACAATTTTGCTGTATAGGGTATTCTATGAATCCTCTGAGATGGGGCCTTAAATCTCAACACAGAATTAAATGTCAATTAAGATTAGGTGGTTTAAACATCCATGTTAACTTGTAGACACAATGCAGTGTAAGGACAAATAAAATGAAGACTCACTTGTCTGGTTTGTTTCAGGGGATATAAGACAGTAATGAAAGAGGATCTCAAATACCCTCTGATTCATGGACACGGGAAACAGGTATGATGTCCCTCAGGCCTCCATTTTCATAGTTTGGATTGTACTGAAACTGTGAACACTTTTGTTCTGTTCTTGTAGAATTTGATGACCAATTCTTCTCTAGATGGCTTTTGGGAAATGGGCATATCATTTTGTGGTCCTAATGGAAAATAAAATTCATTATCGTGCCCTGTTGCCTTTCCTTTTCCATTTTTTAAGAGTCTTTCCCTTTTTGGTTTAATCTCAGGCCTTTTCCAAATAGTTTGTTATTCTTGAATGTGCTCAGTATGAGGAGCAATTTTGGATTTTGGTCATGTTGGCTTCCATGTTTTTACCTGGAACACGAAGCTAGATAGGCTAGCATTTATGAAGTAAATCTGGCTGTAGCCTCATGAACTGTGGGGTGTAAAATTTCCTCCTGCCTGTCCTCTGGATGATTGATGCTTCCACTGTGTTAACAAAGAGTTCAAGGTAAGAACTACCACAGAATGTTTACTGGGGAGAGAAGTCGCGAGAGGTTCTAACACTGGCTGAGGAAAGAGGTATGACAATCAAGGACACCTTCACTGTCCTGAGCCTTACACACATAATTGAGTGTAATTATTAACTATCTTGGGAAACGTCTATGGAGATTCTTAGTCATCCAGGTCATGGTTATCCCAAAGGTGCTTTTTCAAGAGGCATCTGAACTTTCTGGTTTTTCTTTCAAAAAGAAAGGAAAAAAAAGAAAGTTCAGTTACCTCTTGAAAAAGCACCTTTGGGGCTATCTTGGGAAACATGAAACCTACAATTAGTAACTGAGGGAAATACCTCTGACCAAGAGAATGTGTGATTTATTATTTCAGGCCTAGAGAATTGTGGTTGTGGAAATTTTATTTTATTTCCCAGAAAAATCTGGTAGATTTGTGATCTGGCTCTATTCTTCTTTGTCATCTAGGGACAACTTCCTCTTTATCTGAGAAGTTCTGAGGGGACGTATCTATGCCGCATAACAGGGAACTAGGGCATGTCTCATTTGTTGGATGGCCTATCACTTCATTCTGATTTCAGCCTAACCTTCAGTGGGTCATTGGGAATTAGGAAACCTCTGAGGAAAAGGAGGACAGAGGAAGAGAATTGGCACCATTTTTTCTATCCCTCTCTTTGCTTCTCTTCTCTCATGGGGCACAATCAATGGAGAGGGCTACTTTGACAATGGGACCGTTGAGGAACCCTGGTCACCCAGGGAGCTCTGATGAATGGAATGCAGGGACTTTGTGGCTGGAAATTTATTCCACTGCTACAAATCCTGAAAAGAAGTGAGGGAATAGGACATCTGGCCCTCTCAACTTCCCTCCTTTGCTATCCGAGCTGTCCAGCTCACCAGAGGGGTGATGACAAATGCAGTTGGGTGTTGGTGGCACTTTATCGAAAGTGTTCATGGCAACAGCACCAGGGACAGCCTTCTTATTTGGCCCCAGAGAAGTCCTCTGACGTGTCCACAGGCAGGAAGCTGCTTTCTCTGGTTTTGTTGGCCACGAATCCTCTAATTTTAACAATGACAGTACACTTATTATAGATACGAAGTGTAGAAGAAAAAAATAAAAGTTATAAAGCTATGCTAAGGGAATTCTTGGCTCTTGAAAAACTAATGGACATGTCGGGCATGAGTGCTCTCCAGAGCAGGTTAGACCAAAAGGAGAAGCTTCTCTGGCTACTATGTGGCAGGGATTCAAAAACTTTTACCACCGGTTCTGTGGGCGTGGCCATGTGACTGGGTGGGCGTGGCTTTTTTTTTTTTTGCAGCCCCCACCCGTTTTTGGGAGCTTCCTAGCCACAGAGGAGCCTC